GGGTTGAGATTTCTCTATCTTACACAACCAGTTAATAGTGATTATTTTTCTCCCATATCTAACAGTATTTGAATGTGAAATAAAGGTAAACATGGACCCAAAACACATACAGGCAATTTGTTGATGGATTGTTGACGTGCCGTCATTGTATTGTTGAAGTGACGTCATGCCATTGTTATGAATAGGGGAATCCCCCCGTCTCAACCCTAGGGCGGAGACAGATAAATCTAGCACCGGCAAACGGGAGATAAATCTGTCAGGTGTGGGAGAAACATATTTACATTTCCTTTGAAGGAGATACTGTTCTACGAATGACCGTCGATGTCGTCACTTGCCCATATTTGACGTTCACCAAAATTATTTGTGTGGAGTTTAAAGGCTGCAAGGTGTGTTGGATCAAGAACAATGACCAACACTTGAGTGTCCAGGATAATCAGCTGACCACGGGTAACCCCTTCACCGGTAAAAGTGACGTCAAATGTAAGTATTTCAGCATTGAACTAGCGCGCATTATGTTGTTTGCTTGCAAAGCTCTGTCATTCAAATAGATCATAAATACCATACAAAAAACAGTTCAATTCTTATATTTACGTTTTCTCTGCCTCTTATGTTCTTTTTTAACTTATAATTTATATTTAAAATTAAAAACGCCCGCCTTATCGACAGTCCACACAATTTCGTTCAATAGTTTGAACAGCGTATTGTCGCGTGCTGATTGGCAAACAAAGTAGTACTTTGAATTTTTTACAATCTCTTCAATTTTATTCCACAATTCAGTATCAATACAATTGCGTATGATATGTATATAGGGTGATTTAAGTTTATCAATAGAACTTTGAGCTGAAAGTTAGATTTTAAGTTGTTTCGATTTTCCCCCGGAACAAATTTCGCGCATGGACAAATACAGTGAACACCGTAAATCCGACCTTGCCCTCCACGAGGGTTTTATTTTTGGAAGTTTATTCGAACTTTTCTCTTTGCTCATCTTTTGAAGGATCCAGGCGTGAATTTATTTGTTGATTGTATGGGAACCTGACAACAGTCGGTAGATTCTATAACAGCCTCGTTTTTTGACCTGTCGTCAGAATTAAACTTAGGAACCGTAGATGCGAGACGCGTGAAACTGATAGCGTTTGAAGTGAGTGATCTTGCGACGGAGCACAGGTTCGTTACAAATGTCTGAAATGTTTATATGTGCTGTGACTCATATCAGTAGGTCTGTAACATATGTTTCAGTAGGTCTATAGAATATGTATATTTCAGACATTTGTAGCGAACCCTTGTTGACCAGTGCAGTGTAACACACGATATTTCTAAAATTGTTTCCATTGCCGGCATCGGTGATTTCAGCAGATGTGCATTTTGTACGATATTGCAGACCTTGCATGGTCTTGTTTTCGTTGTAATAAAAGTGTTTTTTATTTTATTTTTTATTTTGCACATAACTTTACAATGACATTGTCAAATCTCACAATTCCCAGCGATATTTCAGCAGCCGTCATGTTTATTTAACTTGGATATTGTAGTTCCGGTCAGTGTTGTATTAATACGCTAAGAATTGTGTCTCGTGATGCATGGTAATTAAAGTCCCATCAACGACAAAGCTTTCAAAGAGGCTATATAGTGACAATGCCATGCAAATGTAAATATTATTGTTTTGTTACTCTATGGATGCTGAAAGTGAACATGTACATGGAATACTCCATATACTGCCATTATGTCCTTGACATATTTTGGCGTCATAAAGAGGGGTTGATTGTTTACTAGTAACACGTAAAACTAAAAGTGATCTATAGAAGGGGGGGGGGGGGGTATGTCTTATATCGGGAGAAAGTAAAACAAAATCAATGGTAAAATATGGTTTTAGCTACATTGTAAGTATTTTTCTGTCAACAAGATATAGGTCATATTGCATATTTATCGTTTGTCGATAAATGGATGTAATTTCAACTTATGACGTTAAGTCGAGGTCATATTGTATATTCAATATTAAATAACACAGCAGAAGCTATCTGTTCTATTTAAGTAATTAAAATTCAATGGAGATTCATATATATTATATTTATATTGTGAACTTATTAATATTAATTTTACAATCTCTAGAAAGATTTGATAAACTTACTCGAATCATAATAATTTGAGAAAGAATTTCGGAGACAATTTGCCACGTTAAAATCATTCATAGATTGCATGCCTTAAATGCATGCATTTTCAAGGTCCAATTTTATTCTATTTTACTTTTTTACAAATATTTGTCATTTCCTCTAAGAAAATAACCAAAGTATTAAACGGTCCGTTCCCTTACACAAACATTAAATTTGCGTCATTATATGTGGCACCAATTAAGGGACTTTGTGCCACAAAATACGTCAACTCAGTGATTCATGATGACAGTCTATAAACAATCTTTGTCATGAGAAGAATTTGATTGTGATGTGGTTTTGGTGTTACAGTAAAACCTTGATATGATGCCCCTCGTTAGAATTTGTTAGATTACTGCCTACATATTTTAGTGTCTTTTATTCTCGTTTTCTTAAGAATTCACAAACACGTTTCCCTCAATTAACGCTAAACTCCTTTATAACGCCACTATTTATCTGGGAAAATGGTGGCAGTATAACGAGGTGTATAATGTATTCATAAATTTTTGTTGCAATTTTGATTTATTTTTGATGTTACTTGATATGATGTTGATTTATTTTGATTTCTGTTTGTGCTACGGACTGCAATGAGAAAAAAAACCCTTACCCTTACCTAAAACCTGGTTTCGTTTCCGTGTTTCCAAGTTCGTATTATTGCCCTTCTGTTTTGACTCCAGGTTCTCGTGTTCTGAAGATGTGGTTAATAGAGTATATATAGATCCTATGTAAATGAGATGGTACATATCATCTATTTGTCTTTAGTTCAGTTTCAATGGTGGACGTTTCATGGACTGGAGGCTCGGACGGTCAGTAACTCAATGTGTCCACCAGTCTTCTTCTGCGCCTTCAGATCTTTAGACAGCAACACATTTGTCACAGTACAGAGTGGCAATCGAGTCGGGATAGGAGTAAGTAACATTTGTGTCGGTATAAACATATTACATTTCTTACTATTTAGGGTGGGAACAAAGTTGGGATAGGAGTAAGAAACAATTGTGTCGGCATAAACATATTTCATTTCTTTCTATTTAGGATGGGAACAGAGTCGGGATGGGAGTAAGTAATATTTGTGTCGGTATAAACATATCACTTTTCTTACTATTTAGGGTGGGAACAGAGTCGGGATAGGAGTAAGTATCATTTGTGTCGGTATAAACACTTTACATTTCTTACTATTTAGGGTGGGAACAAAGTTGGGATAGGAGTAAGTAACAATTGTGTCGGCATAAACATATTTCATTTCTTTCTATTTAGGATGGGAACAGAGTCGGGATGGGAGTAAGTAACATTTGTGTCGGGATAAACATATTACTTTTCTTACTTTTTATGGTGGGAACAGAGTCGGGATAGGACTAAGTAACATTTGTGTCGGTATAAGCATATTACTTTTCGTACTTTTTAGGGTGGGAACAGAGTCGGGATTGGAGTAAGTATCATTTGTGTCGGTATAAAAATATTACTTTGCTTACTTTTTAGGGTGGGAACAGAGTCGGGATAGGAGTAAATAACATTTGTGTCTGTATAAACAGATTACATTTCTTACTTTTTAGGGAGGGAACAGAGTCGGGATAGGACTAAGTAACATTTGTGTCGGTATAAACACTTTACATTTCTTACTATTTCGGGTGGGAACAAAGTTGGGATAGGAGTAAGTAACATTTGGGTCGGTATAAACATATCACATTTCTTACTGTTTAGGGTGGAAACAGAGTAGGGATAGGAGTAAGTAACATTGGTGTCGGTATAAACATATCACAATTCTTACTATTTAGGGTGGGAACAAAGTTGGGATAGGAGTAAGAAACAATTGTGTCGGCATAAACATATCACATTTCTTAGTATTTAGGGTGGGAACAGAGCCGGGATAGGAGTAAGTAACATTGGTGTCGGTATAAACATATCACTTTTCTTACTATTTAGGGTGGGAACAAAGTTGGGATAGGAGTAAGAAACAATTGTGTCGGCATAAACATATTACTTTTCTTACTTTTTAGGGTGGGAACAGAGTCGGGGTAGGAGTAAGTAACATTTGTGTCGGTATAACCATATTACATTTCTTACTATTTAGGGTGGGAAGAGAGTCGGGATAGGAGTAAGTATCATTTGTGTCGGTATAAACATATCACTTTTCTTACTATTTAGGGTGGGAACAGAGACGGGATAGAAGCATTTGTGTCGGTATAAACATATTTCATTTCTTACTGTTTAGGGTGGAAACAGAGTTGGGTTAGGAGTAAGTAACATTTGAGTCGGGATAAACATATCACATTTCTTAGTATTTAGGGTGGGAACAGAGCCGGGATAGGAGTAAGTAACATTTGGGTCGGTATAAACATATCACATTTCTTAGTATTTAGGGTGGGAACAGAGCCGGGATAGGAGTAAGTAACATTTGTGTCGTTATAAACATATTACTTTTCTTACGTTTTAGGGTGGGAACAGAGTCGGGGTAGGAGTAAGTAACATTTGTGTCGAGGAGTAAGTAACATTGGTGTCGGTATAAACATATCACATTTCTTGCTATTTAGGGTGGAAACAGAGTTGGGTTAGGAGTAAGTAACATTTGAGTCGGGATAAACATATCACATTTCTTAGTATTTAGGGTGGGAACAGAGCCGGGATAGGAGTAAGTAACATTTGGGTCGGTATAAACATATCACATTTCTTACTTTTTAGGGAGGGAACAGAGTCGGGATAGGACTAAGTAACATTTGTGTCGGTATAAGTATATTAAATTTCTTACTATTTAGGGTGGGAACAGGGATAGGAGTAAGTAACATTTGGGTCGGTATAAACATATCACATTTCTTGCTATTTAGGGTGGAAACAGAGTCGGGATAGGAGTAAGTAACAATTGTGTCGGGATAAACATATCACATTTCTTACTATTGAGGGTGGGAACAGAGTCGGGATTGGAGTAAGTATCATTTGTGTCGGTAAAGACAAATGACATTTCTTGCTATTTAGGGTGGAAACAGAGTCGGGATAGGAGTAAGTAACATTGGTGTCGGTATAAACATATCACTTTTCTTACTATTTAGGGTGGGAAGAGAGTCGGGATAGGAGTAAGTAACATTGGTGTCGGTATAAACATATCACATTTCTTGCTATTTAGGGTGGGAACAGAGACGGGATAGAAGTAAGTAACATTTGTGTCGGGATAAACATATTACTTTTCTTACTTTTTATGGTGGGAACAGAGTCGGGATAGGACTAAGTAACATTTGTGTCGGTATAACCATATTACATTTCTTACTATTTATAGTGGGAACAGAGACGGGATAGAAGTAAGTATCATTTGTGTCGGTATAAACCCATTACATTTCTTACTATTTAGGGTGGAAACAGAGTTGGGTTAGGAGTAAGTAACATTTGAGTCGGGATAAACATATCACATTTCTTAGTATTTAGGGTGGGAACAGAGCCGGGATAGGAGTAAGTAACATTGGTGTCGGTATAAACATATCACTTTTCTTACTATTTAGGGTGGGAATAGAGTCGGGATAGGAGTAAGTATCATTTGTGTCGGTAAAGACAAATGACATTTCTTGCTATTTAGGGTGGGAACAGAGACGGGATAGAAGCATTTGTGTCGGTATAAACATATTACATTTCTTGCTATTTAGGGTGGGAACAGAGACGGGATAGAAGTAAGTATCATTTGTGTCGGTAAAGACAAATGACATTTCTTGCTATTTAGGGTGGGAACAGAGACGGGATAGAAGCATTTGTGTCGGTATAAACATATTTCATTTCTTACTGTTTAGGGTGGGAACAGAGTCGGGATAGGACTAAGTAACATTTGTGTCGGTATAAACATATCGCATTTCTTGCTATTTAGGGTGGGAACAGAGTTGGGAAAGGAGTAAGTAACAATTGCGTCGGCATAAACATATTTCATTTCTTTCTATTTAGGGTGGCAACAGAGTCGGGATGGGAGTAAGTAATATTTGTGTCGGTATAAACATATCACTTTTCTTACTATTTAGGGTGGGAAGAGAGTCGGGATAGGAGTAAGTAACATTTGGGTCGGTATAAACATATCACATTTCTTGCTATTTAGGGTGGGAACAGAGACGGGATAGAAGCATTTGTGTCGGTATAAACATATTACATTTCTTACTTTTTAGGGTGGGAACAGAGTCGGGATAGGAGTAAGTAACATTTGTGTCTGTATAAACATATTACATTTCTTACTATTTATGGTGGGAACAGAGACGGGATAGAAGTAAGTAACATTTGTGTCGGTATAAGCATATTAAATTTCTTACTATTTAGGGTGGGAACAGAGTCGGGATAGGAATAAGTAACATTTGTGCTAGTAAATATATGATACATTGTTATCAACTGATCCCAGACAAATAGAATTGCTATGACTGTTTCAATGAAAAGGTTTAAGCAGGAATGTTAGGTATATGTGCAAGGTTCATCGAGTCACTGCTATGTAAAAACAAAACGATGTTCTTGTCAGCTTGGTCACTGGTTGCGTAAGTGCTGTAGGAGTCACTACCCCTTGTTCACCAAAGTGGCGAACAAGGTGTCATTCTTGCACATATGCTATGACTGTTGGAACGAAAATGATATTTTGCCGATCGCTGTATGAATCCACGAATACAACCACTTATAAAAAAAACATTCTTGGAACTTGTTTTTTATGCTGTTACTCTTTAATATAAAAAAAATGAAATCACCAAACAATAAATCAAAGTGGTCATTTCTTGTTTGACAGTATGTACGTGTGTCTTAATACAAGCTCCTGTCTCATTGCTTAGTGTTATTGAATAAAAAGTGTATCTAAACATTTGAGTCAAATCATAAAACACACCATGGCACACTACATTAGCGTGTAAATGTATTATGCGGTTCAAATATTTTCAGCAACTTGCATTTAAGACAAAATAACGTTAAATTGTTTTGGGTAACGTTTCTTGATATATATATATATACAAAGCAGCGATTTATACTGGTTCCTGAATCTATCCTATATTTAATATATTACATATATATACAGCAGTTATGAAACAATTGATTTCAACATATATTAATCACTTGTTGGCCCGGATGTTCGCGCACGGGGGATCTTAATGTGAGAGGCAACCTGAGTACCCAGAGAAAACCTAAGTGTGCGGGCAGGTGACCCCATGTCTGTTCACGTCCGATTGAGGAATCGAACCCCGACCGCCTTGGTAAAAAGCGAGTGCGTTTTCCACTGCGCCACCCGACCAACCCAAATGATATGTTACATATGATTTCTATTTAATGTTTACAGGAGAGTTCCTCTCTTTCACGTGACATCTCGACGGTACGGAAACCGGACTGTCGGTTCTTTAAGGTCCGTCTGATGAAAAACCACAAATACCTTTTGGAGTCACTGGTATACGAAGGTAAGTCAACTCTTGACATTGTCTCTGGACCTTTTTTTAATGATGATGCATACAATTATACCTTATACGTATTTAATAAATAATTATCTCTTACATGTATGGTTGCTTTAATAAACAAAAACTCACGACGTCATGTCAGCTGATGCATTGACGTTTGTTTTTGAATTTGTTTTTGTTTAATTGCAAATGTTGACTCTATAGGATTTTCTTCATATCAATTTATTCAATTATTAAAATCTTGTCCTTTCCTCTCTTTGACAGCTTTAAATCATTTTGTTTCGTGAATATTCAATTTCACGATTGTTTTCGAAATATATACATTCACATTGAATATGTATGTGAAATTTATTATCGTAATCTATTTTATTTCAAGATTTATTCAGCTCGCGATTTAATGCAAAAGCATATCTTTAACATGGCAAAATAATAGACAGATTTAAATGTTGTTATATATTTTAGGTGTGTACTTAAGATGTGGAAAAAAGGGATTATCGATGAAAAAAGCAACATCAGATTTCTTCCAATTCCAACCAGAACTGCAGTTTGATATATTCACGTCAAATGGCAATGCATTGATGTAAAACCCTTCAAGATAAGCCAAGCAGCTCGTTCTGAAGAACAAACATCACATGATTAGATTATAACATAATTTGAATCAATTTGTATTGAGGAAAATGCATATTGCAAGTAGATAAAGCTGTGATGTCAGATGACATAACGCTAATGTGATTAGTCATTAATTAATTTGTAAAATGTGCATCTTTAGCGTCAACAACTAGATAATATAGTTAGATGTCATGTGAGGTCAGCTGACAAAATGGAAAAGTAATAAATCATTTAATTCTTTTTACACTGTTTTTATTTAACACTTGCAACTCAAATAACATATCTGAAACAGTTTGCATCTAAAAAAAGTATTGAAAATAGCAGGCTATGAATGCCATGGACGTCAAATGGCGTGCTGGTACTGTAAATAGTCATGTGTATGATGTGTTAAGTACGTAACTCCTCTTAAACAGGAGACAAAAATGTTAGCTTTGTGAGGCGACGGTCAAACGTGTATAGGAATAACCGTTGACTCGACTTTAAACTTTGACAGTCATATTCAAAATTGTGTGGCTAAGGCCTTAAGACACTATATATGTTTGGAAACTAAAGTAATATATAATGTGTTTACCATTTTCTATTTTTTCAATGGGATTATATATTTCTACATGTATGTTATTAATTCTCTATTTTACTTACTTTGAAGTTATGGCCAGGTCTTTTGCAACAGTCCTAGGGTTAGGACTGTAGGGATACTCATTCGCCGGCTCTTGTCATCGTGTATTTGATTATGATTCATAGTCATGTTTATCACCAATATATCTATTAGTAGAGTACTTTTAGTGCTGTCCATAGCAATTTGTCTCAAAACCGTTAACCATATCATACCATGTGTATACTTTGTATAGTTAAACATTGCCTATCACTATCATAATTTTATACACACTATTTTATATGAAATTTTAAAATTCTCTATTAACTCATTTACACCATGCCCTTTTTAGTGAAACCTTTTTCGATTTTTGTATAAATATGTATTTGCGTTGCTTGCCTTACCTTGTATAAAATACCATTGACCTATATAGGCAATGTTTCTCTTAATGTTTACGTATCATGTTTTCAATGCTCATACATGTTTGGGTTTTTTTACTTTTTGATCCATCGTTTTCAGCAGCCGACTTAATTCTTGTGTATTTAATCATGTAAACAAATTGTAATACACGCTATCTGTACATCTCAAAGACTGCCTCCTGTTCTGTTAAACTAGAATTAATAATTTTGTTGAGACGTAAAGTATGTATACTCCCATGAAAGTATTAATATCTTATATGTGCAGGTTGGAGGAAAAATAATCCTCCTCTATCACACTGCAAAACTGAAGGACCTATTATGCAGAATTAGGGTTTTCTCTATTAACCCCCACCCAAGATTTATTTAGGACATCAAAAAAGAGCTTTTGCTTGAATCGTTTTAATTCCCCCCTCCATTTCCCCCTTTTTCTATCCTTCGTCTCTTCGGACACAAATCCGTTTGTCTGTTTTCTACTAAGTTCTTATAAATTTTCTGTTGATAGACCATTGCGATTTCATATTATACCATACCATTTGTCTCACTATCAGTTATTAATTTGTGATACACCTAACATTTTCTTTCCCTTTTTTCTTCAATTTACAATAAAAGTAAGTCTATTGTGTGTTGTATAGATGTGCAGGTGCTTTGTGCTTTGGGGAATTCCCATTTCATAGCACATTTGTGAAGTAAATCAAGGCCTGTATTCTCACACTCAATTTCAGTTATAAATTTCAACACATTTCATACTATTCCCTATAATTTGAAGGCTTTGGAAACATTTGAAGCGATTTCATTGTCTAAAGACTTTACGCTTTGTCAGTATGCTACGTATTTCAGGGTGTTACCAGAATTAAGGCCAGAACTCATGCTTGAGTTTTAGAAGGGTTTAATGAATACGCGTCTAGAAAGTTGTGTTTTAGGGAGCCCTGTTAAATAAAACTATTTTTTTTATGAATATGAGGGTCATTCTCATCATATTACCAAGAATGTATGCGGATCTTCCACAAAAAAAGATTTTCTTTATCATAACCATGTCTTTAGCGTCAATGTATGTAAAGACGTCATGTCTATTGTTTTAATACTGACGTCACAAAGCGCGATGTTACATGCCGTAGTACGCAAATACAGTATTTAGGATACACGTTTATTTGTGTTGCTTTGCTATTAAGGATGTCTATGTATTTTATTAAGGTGAGACTTTTTCCTGTTACAGTGTATAGTGTCGATTAAATCATGTTTGTAATATGGTTAGAATATGCATTTCATTTATGTTTAGCGTATTGACTGTACAGTTTTATATGTCTTTGGTTGTTAAATAAAAGAATGTTTTGTATTTCTCGATTACTGTTTGCTTACTAATTAATAATTTGAAATAGTCTTCGTTCGTTGGTAAAATTTGTATTTGCTCAATATTGATTTCGCTCTTCCGGGTAAAAGTATTTTGTATAGTAAACTGGGTTTATGTTGAATTATAGACTGCTCAAAGGGATACAATTAAAATTTCACCGTATACTGCTCTTAACTAGTTGTGATGTATACAATTGATTAAATCCAGGGGGAATAACTGTTTAAAGACTAATGGAGTTGTGGCAAGAAATCTTGAAATTAAGGTAACTTTACCAGCTTCACAGATTAATACTTATAAAAGTTAAAACTGATATACAAATGTATTTGTAACGTACATATTATAACTAAACTAGACATATATGAAAACAATAAAAATTAACTGGATGAATGCATTGCTATTAACATCTTAATAAGCAAACTAGCTAAAAGGGGAACAATTCCAATAAAAATGTATAAAAGATAATAAAAAAGCACAACAAGGACAGTTTACCTTCATACAAACTAGCGTAGAAAGAAACACGTATATGGCAACACACGTATTTGTTCGGTGTTAATAAAGTACAGTGAAATATTCGCCCTTCACTAGTAAAATCTGATTTTTTCAGTGTTAGTGTCATTTTTCACAGTGGACAATTTACACTTTACTTGGCTTTTTTAATAATTGATGATGATGAAATTTAAATGCTTATATCAAATGTATTGACCGTAGAAACCAATTTGATGACACGTTATAAATATGTTTAAAATGTAATACATTGACAACATCCTGCTCATCTTAATGACGAAACAGACAAGGGATGTTGATATCAATCATGGTGTCATTATCCGTTAACACAACGATACACACTGATAACACTAGACATGTCAACTACCGTTATAGGTAAACAAAGGGTTGTTTATAGGTCGGCAAATATGGATCATTGTCTGATCGTAAGTAATAAATTTTATAATTCTGGGTTTCTCTGCAGAATTTTTGGGGTTCTCTTCCAATGTCCTTTGTACACCAACTAAAAGCTTGGAGTATTTACCGCCCCCCCCCCCCTTCCCCAATATGCTATTCAGCAGTGGCGGATTCAGAGGTTGTTTTG